CATTAGATCCATGAAAATGTGAAAATTAAGATTTGTTGTCGTTCAGAAATATTCTTCAGATGTTTCCTGTTTGTTGACATCAGAGCGACAGCTGCAGAAATAAATATCAATACCTACGACGGATTAAATGACTCAACAGTAGATCTCAGTAAAGTGCACTAGAGCTACGGCTCCCAGCCACCAAGCCTCCGTAGGATCAGTTAACGTTTAATCTCACAGTTTAACATCACTTTTCTCATCAGATAAAGAAAAAAGTCAAATAAATTACAAAAATAAGTACTAAAAACCTATTTTCAAACTAATTTCCTGTATAATGCAGCAATTTTAAAAAACACACTTTAAAGACCAGGTTCATTACCCAGAACATTGCAAAATGTTTAAACTAATTCAGCTAAAACTGCTGACTGATGCTGTGAAAACTGTGTACGGAAGGCCAAAATTGGGCAATTTATGTTTTAACAGTTTTAATAGTTTCAAATTTAAATGAGTACATAGCGGCAACATAATCAATAATGTTAGCTTATAAACTAATTGTTTAAAGTCAGTAATAATGCTAACTCAAGGCCCATCTTTTTCTGGAGCTTTTAACCGTATCTGAGCAAAATCTTTTCATCAGTGAAGACTGTGAAAAGTGGTTGAAAGCCCTGGAAAAAGCTAATTTAAAAACAAAGTTGTTAAATGATATGATATTTAAATCTATTACACATCATCATCATTCCAATAATTCTGCAGTTAAATGATGATGATTTATTGGAGAGCAGAGGCTGGCTGGGAGCCACAGCTACACAACAAAGTGAAGACATTAAGACCTTTTTTTGACAATAAAAGTGACAAAGAGTTTAAAATCAGAGGAAAATATCCGTCCGGTGAACAGACGGCCGGTTCAGTCTCCTCTCTCACTCGTCTGTCTTTAAACTGCCGGAGAAAACAGATAAAATACCTATAACGGTATCCATGCATATTTGTGACTGCTCATCATACAAACACACACACACACTCATACAAACAAACACCTGCCCGTTCACACACACATACACTCTTTGCATTCTGGCGAGGAACATGCCTGAATGATTTTTATTTTTGAACTCATTTATATACTCTGTTTTATTTCTTCTTGGTAATCTAACTTCTCGGTGGTGCAAACACTCGTCTTGAAAAGTTTTGGGACAGGGGAAGAGAGGGAGGATGAGAAAAACAAACCAATGACTGATAGGAGAGAAAAAAAACAGTCGTCATGCAAAAGAACGGATGATGAGATTTCTTTCCCCATTGTGTTGTGTTTTTTTTCTAGCTTTTTTATTCTTTGATATGGTTGATAAATTCCTATGATCAGTAGTGCTACTTCTACTGTACGAGGCTCATGCACGGAGAAACGCCAGTCAGATACCCGACGACTTTCATCTCTTATCTTTTTTTTCTTTTTCTTTTTTTGGTTTGAGGATTTGATTGGAAGATGCAGGTGAAAGTTTATGATACAAAATATGTTACAGTATGTACGTCTTGTCTCCTGTCTGCGTGTTACTCACTCACACTCTTGCTTCTGATTGGCTGAGGAAACGCTTCACCGAAACACTCGCAGGTGAAGTCACGTGTGGCCGATGACGTACAGTATTAAAAGAGGACGTTTAGTTTTTAATTTGGGATTTAAAAAGTAAAACAAAGCCTTGTCCCCTTTTTGTGCGAGCTTGTGTTCCGCTGTTCTCTCGGGTTTCTACCATCAGTCTTTCTGCTAACCTAAATAATAATTCCATTGCTTTTATAGCAGAATCTGGGTTAAAGACTTTTAAATATACACAATTTTACTTTTTAACCCCTGCAGCCAAGAAATATGACCAGAAATCCCCTGTAGAGGCAGTTACATCTTGAAAATATGCTCATTGAATGAAATCATTCCTGCCTGTGGTCATTAAACTATACAACGCCTCCCTTGGAGAGTCAGTTACCCCTCCCAGTAATATGTCTTAAAC